ATTCTCATTTTCTACGCTCTCTTGCAATGTTTATTGACGGATGAATCATGTTGTAGACGTAGTATGGCTAATTTGTACTAACAACCTACCGAGTGGGTGATCGAAACGCTTCTAAACAAATAGGACATTCATCATCACCTTCGTCATCCATCTCTAAAAGATAAGTTAATGCATGTGCTTTTGACAACAAAAGAGCTCCATCCTCAAAGCAAATTATATACTGTCGAGCGGTCGACAGCACGAGCAGACCATAGACTGCGGAAACTCTAACCAATACGAATCGCTACTGCACAGTTCGTGCTCTCGCGACATTTCAGCCGCGCCGAACGTGCTCCGCAGTCTACGGCAAGTCTGTGCAGTCGGCTACCCCACGGCACTCTACCGATATGCGGCGACTAGACTTCAAATGATACTCGAATAGTGAAGGATCAGAAATTCCAAGTCAGTACTTGGGTGCAAACTAAGAATCCCAGTACCGCAAGGGTGACCAAAATACTTACTGATAGAAACTTGAATGGATTGATTAGGATGGAGTGCCTTCTTCTTTATATCGGAAAAAATAGTCCTGCATTAGATAACTTACACTTGAAAAGATAGCTTTTTTTTCATTGTATCAGAAGAAAAGTATAGAAACGAGGCAACATTCGAAACGATTACATATACTGCAAAAATACTTTATTCTTAACTACATAGAACAATTATCTGAGGTCCAAACAAGCGATAATATCGCTTGCTACCATATCATAAGGTCGATTTTATAGTAATCTGGAAAAAAGAAGAACAAGAATTGAGGCACTCGATAATTTAGCAACAAAGACAATGAATCGCCAAAAAGAGTGTCCTCAAAAAAAAATACCATCAGATGCAACACAAGAGAAAAAAAACCCACAAAACAAGGCACGTACTTTGAAAGAGATCGAGAGGGATAAATGTTAGGTTGATGCATTACTGAGGTTTGATATCTCCAAAACTGACGATCTCAAAGATTTTTCTTGTGAACAAGTAAGGTAAATCTATCTTCGAAACAATGCCCAAGCTTTGATCTCTTTCTCATAGAAGCGAGCAATTTTTATGAGTGCTTTCTTCACATAAGTTTTGTAGAGACTAGGATGTCTACGGCAGTCGCTAGACTTCATTTTTCGATTTCCAACAGCGTGGAGAACACAAGCCAATTACTAACTTTTACCCAAATGGTGTTGATGTTTCCAGGTATCAGGTAGTAGCGATTTTCATGCTTTTAGTTCAGACCAACGCTTTTGTAAAAATAAAACCTTCACTTGATAGAAATAGTGACTGGCCTAGATCCATAGAAAAACACAAGAAAAGAGCTTCAGTCGGCTACGAGCGACGCTAACCGAAACGTCGATTTTCTGGAAAACAGTTTTAAAGGCATTGCTCCGGCATCAGCCTAATATCTGGTGCTCTCGATCTATTTCGGCAAAGTAGACTTCAACGGCGTGCAGGGCTATCTCAATGAGAGCAAACAAAACTTCCGGATCAAACGATACATTCTGGATGATTCTTGGGGCATTACCATTATTACCAGCATCTGCCTGCCCATTTTGTTGACCATTTCGTTCTGCAAAGAGTATTGCAAGATATTGTGATATAGAACTAAGATTCCTTTAGGCTCTCACAAAATGCAGAGCCTTCGAAGTACTTGTTGTACATAATAAAGCCGCGTCCCAGCCAAGAAGTTGTGGAATTCGTTTTCATATTACACTCCTAAGCCTCCTAATCAAGTCTCTGTCCGCATGCGACCCGTAACCAAACAAAAAGAACGACTACCACATATGGTCGGTTTCATCCCGGAAGACGCAACATTCTACATGGAGCAGCGCGTGCGCACCGCTGAAGGCTTCGCGAGGGCGTAGCGTTGGCATTTTGCTAAGCTAACAAGGAAACCGTGTCGAGTCGAAGTGGCCTTTCCAGATGAGACCCATACTGCTTTGAAGGGTATTAAACGGTGATTCCAAATCTGCTTTCCAAATCTGCCAAGCGCCTCTGGACGCCGAGTTATGACCGTTCTTCGGAACGAAAAGTGAGTGCAGAATTTAGGTTAAAGATTGTTACAATCTTTCCAGCGCTCAGATAAAGCAATGTTAAGTATTGGCATATTGAACAAAATGTATCCATTGCATAAACAGCTCTGATACTTGACACTGGAGCATTCAAGCAAATCTGGGCGATTTTGCTTCAGTTTTGCGTTCAATTTTTTGACCTGAAAAACGAGCATAACTCGGCGTCCACAGGCGCTTGGCAGATTTGAAAAACAGATTTGGAATCACCGACTAATGCTCTTCAAAGCATTATGGGTCTCATCTGGAAAGGCCACTTCGGCTCGACACGGTTCCCTTGTAAGATTAAGATGAATGAAAAGACGCAGACTTGGGTTCTTGGCACGGTGACTGTAGCTGCAACGGCGGGAACCGTTGCGAGGCGGACGCCCGCCATTTCCAATTTCCGCCTAAAACGGGTTGAAACTTGCTGTAACATTTGATTCAACTGGCTTGGCACCATTAGGGCGGGGTTTTGTGATCTAATTGAGGCCGCTCGCGGCCGCGACGCACCTCCGCCTCTCTCGCGCGAGTGCTCCCTGATCATTAACTAGCCTTAATTAGGTCACGAAGCCCCGCCTTTGCCGATGCCAAGTCAGTTGAAACAAATGGTATATGGCACGGATGCCACGAGTGAATGATAGTTTCTGCACGGGACCACAGGATTTGCACAATCTGCACACGTGCGTGTCTACAGCACAAGACGTTGGTCATTGGGTTAGTGTTTGGATATGCGCCAGTCATTTTTTTTCGCTTACGGCTCTCAACATGACTACGAACATCTACAGTGGCCTTAGGAGAGCTTGTAGTCGAGGACATGTCCGCTTAGAATAGTGTTTCTGCGGTGCCGAGATGGTGCGGTAAAATTTACGCGTTGACGAGTAGCTACTCCTGTAATGCCGGCCATTTGCGCGCGCAATTTACCGGTATTACCGAATTTTCTCGGCACCGCAGCACCACTATATCAAGCAATCTACTCTGTTGTACCTTTGGTACTGAAACAAATTCCAAACTGCATTGGCCATTTCTTCCGCGTCTCGACTGCGGTTGCTAACCGATCTGGCAATTTGCTAGACGTCTACAAATCCACGAGAATATGCTTACGCGCACAATTTTCGTAAGCCAACAAACATGCCAAATGCTGCTTTCACAAAGTGCTTTACCAACATGTATGAACAACAGCAAAAAGCCAAATTGCATTCTTGCTTGACTAAAGGTGCGTATCTGGTCGGCAACATATCTCGACAAGAGGTGCGTATCTGGTCGGCAACATATCTCGACAACAGGTCCTGCACTGAGTGGATGTCTATATGGCGCCGAAAGGGGATGCTCCCGCGCGGACACTTGCGACTAGACAATACAGATTCGTACCAGCCATCCGCGCGGGGTGGAGCCTATCGGCGACATATAGTCCCCTACCCGGTGCGCGGTTGCAGCCGGGACTCTCCCTCCCCTACCCCCTCCCCCCCGCCCCTTCGAGTCGACATGTAGTCCGTACGTCCGTGCCTCCACTACTCGCAAAGGAGAGGTAAGCGCAGACACGCGCCCTGTCGCGAATTGCTGCACATGTGCACATAGAAGCGAAACGCATGGTCCAACTTACCCCGCTTACGATGGAAATGTCTATACTTGTCCGTCAGACCTCGCCTTTAATACACTTTACTTTTTCTCAGTAAAAGGCTGACTAATCCGTCTCGTTGAAAGCACTACCTTGGTAGGTCAGGAATTCTTCAATCGTTTGTCTGCACATGGTGATATCTGCCACAATCCGTACCATAGCTCCTCTGCACTGAAACTCAAAAAATGAAGCTAGAGTTTTGAGACGGCAAGTTGTCCCACCATTGGACAGATGGGATTGCGTCGATAAGAATAGTAGAGACAAATTCCACAGAAAGTGTGGCCACAAGGAATTATCCTAAACAGTGTGGGGTCAGGATGGAACTCGGCTCTTTCCCGGCTCGGCTCGAACAACGATAACGTGAAGGTGAAAAATGGTGCGAAAAAACGTGGTGCGCATGTTATGTTCACTCAGGGTGCACTTCTAGTGTCTTCAAAATGCTGCGTATTTTACATGCTTTCTTGTAATATTCAATGACAGAAAATTATCGTTGTAGATGTAATATTTCTCTCAAATTCGTACTAATAACTTACGTCAGTGGAATCGTGCGGGATACCTCCAGACAAATCGGACATTCATCAGCTTGATCGTTATCCATGCTGAAAGCACGGTATGTACAGTCGAGTTGTCGACGGCAAGAACTGAGCATAGATTGCGGAGCATGTCCGGCGCGGCCAAACGGTTGCACATATCGTATAAATCGCTACTGCAGACTTCGTGCTCTAGTGACATATAGCTGCGCCGCACGTGCTTCGCAATCTACGCCTAGTCCGTGCGGTCAATGACTCGAGATAGTCGACCAATACGCAGCGAATAGACTTCAAATGTAGTTCAAATTGTGTAAAAAGAAATCCTTATGTCAGTAGAGATGCAGACCAAACATCCCAGTACAGCAAGGGTGACAAAAAAGTTACTGATGGACGTCTTTAACTATATGCTTTGGCTCTTGGACTGACCTTAGACGGGTTCGAACGGAAAATTGTAGCGAAGACCAGGAGAGTGTATCTATAAGAGTCAGATTATGCATATTTGTTTTCAAAAGGTAGTCTCATTGTATCAGAAGGAAAGTATAGAAATGATAGAACATTCGAAACGATTAAACACACAGCAAAGAAATCTTTACTCATTACACACGAGAAGCAACAAGTATTTGAGTACCCAAACAAGTGATAATAATATCACTTGCTACAATCATAATCGATATGGATTCGAGAAAGACAATGAAAAGAGATGAAGTGGATGATTACAATAAGTAGAGATGAAGTGGATAATTGACAACGAAGCACAACCACGATAAATTTGATTGGAAACGAGTGTGCGAGTAGGTGGATGTTTGTACTGCCATAAGCTCGAACCTCGTCTCAGTTGTGGTGTGCATGTGCCTGACTTCTACTCTGTAAAAGCTCGAAATTCAAAGAAAGCCTATTACGTGAGTGTTCTAACCATGACCCATAGGCTAGGTCACGCAAAAGCGATATTCGCTCTGGGACCACGGGTTCTTATCGCGTAAGCTGCGACTTACGCTACCGTTCATCGAGCTTAGCCACTACTTTTAGTTTATCGTAAAAGCCACTTACTCTTATAAGCGCAGTGCTTCGGGCATGTGAGGACCTGGCGTCCGTCGCTAGGCTTTTTCATGATCCTCTGACAGTCAGGACATTTCGAAGCCGAAAGGAATGTCAGAGCGTTCTTTTTGCAGTGGACCTTCAAAAATATTGAACAAGAACTTGGGTGCACATCATTGGGCTCACCTCCACATCAAATTTACGGCCTTCGAAAAAACGACTGATGAGTTCCAGATCTTTTTCTAAATAGAGGAGCTGACTATATCAAATTCTACAGGTGGTAAAGCAGACGGATACCTAGGCTGAACTCCTTAGCGGCAAGTTTAGCGCCTATACCCGAAGTCGAAGGATAGTCGTAACATTCGTGGTCACTAAGTTCTTCTTCCTCGAATTCTTGGAATACGAACGCCTTGGGCTTCTGTTGCTCAAGCTTCTGTAGCTCAGCTAGCTTTGCTCCTTTCTTGTGATGTATGTTCTTCTCCTCAGCCGTCTGCACAAGCTTGAATGTCTTCTTGTTTTTCTTATGTCTTCCCATCTTCCTAAAATGCAGTAGAATATTGGGAAATGTTACAGTATCCGCCTCTCTGAATAAGCGTCTTACTAATATGGAAGGGCGAACTGACCTTGAGTGAGATTCTTTACAGCAGTAGATTGTGGTGAGTGATATGAGTTGTTGCTGACGCACAATTACCCAGTTATCTCTGAAAAACAAAAAAATTAGCAACTTCAAACCAAAACCTCAAAAGCCAATGAGTGAAAATGACAACCGCGCCGGATCGAGTTGGCTGCGTCTCTGGCTTCACTCTGCTTCGCTGTGCCAACGCCTTACCTGTATAGACATGTTAAGTCCAGGCTGATACATGCCTGCAAACTTCTCGAATATTCTGACCTCTATCGATTGCCACGAGGCCGATTTGATTTGAATGAACAGTTCTCAGTGCTTTCTCCCTGCTTTTTCTCTCTAGTGCAAAATTTTTCGTCTCAGCATCTTTCACGTAGTAGCCTGCGGGCATCTATTAGGTTGGCTCGAAAGTTCTGGGACATTGCATTCAGACAAAATTTTTGTTTGGATGTAAGCACTGATTGGGGCATATTGCATATCATTAGATAGAGAAAAGCAATCTCTACAGAACTATGGTATGCAGAAGCAACATCAATGTTTTCTGTGAAAATTCGGGCGAAAATTCCAAAGCATAGGATGTTGACCTAACCCAGATCTCCAGCTTCTATGAACGTTTTGAAATTCCCACATGTTTCAGTTTATAGTACAAACATACTTATATGATTACAAGCACAGCTTGTGCGGAATTTGAGCTTAAACAGCAAGAAAAACGAGGTGATTGAAAAGTGGCAAACTCCGCCCCCATTGGTCCTAGGCTCCTCCCATTTGCTTAGATATCAGCTATAGGCGAGGGAGAGTAAAACTGCAAATTTTCGAGAAGGTACATGCATTGGCTTTCGAGAAATAGCAAATTTAGTCTGAAAATGTCCCAGAACTTTCGAGCCAACCTAATAGCATTACTGACTGACCCTTTGAGCTCTGAAGCACTTTAAAATGAAGATGTTAAATAGTAAAACATTTGTTACGCAGTCACTTAGTGGTCCTCGTCCTTTTCTCCGTAATGTTATAGTGTTACTGTCATCTGCCCACTTCCTTGTATACCTGACAGCTATCACTCTGTACAGCCGGGTGATCCTGAAGGATTTAAGGATTTATTCTGTTTATCCATTTTACTTATTGTTACATAGGGACAGCCAACATGAACGGTAACTTGTGCCAGCCGTATGCGTTTTGTAGGATCAGGAACAGTTACTGGTGAATATTCAGATTATGCGAACTATGTAGTTCTCTATCCTACGCAGTGTTGCTCGTCAGTTTTGGAGTTGATGTCCGCATTCAAAGGTGTCCCTAGGAATTTAAAAGCACGAAAAAGAATGAATACGAAGCAAGGAAAATTTGGAAGTGCGTAAGAGCTTTTCAAGAAAGAAGACATACGATGTATAGCAGAGCACCAAAGCTTTAGCTACTAGTGAGAACTACAACGCCCTTTTGACCGCAAACGAGGAAAATTCTCCGAAAACCTCGGGAAAAGAAAATATACCTACCCCGAAGAATTCCGCAATCATAAACTGTACAGATAGCTGCTACCAATGTGAATAATAACATCATTCACGATAATGGTACTCTCAATGAAGATGAGGAAATCCTTGCAGACATGACTATCACTCCATTCTACGGTTTTGTAAGATTATTTCTAGGCTTAACAATTCTCGAAATTCATTTTCTCTTCTTGGTTGTGTCCACTCAGACGCATTCTATCGCAGTCGAGATTAAATGTAAGCAAGCATGACAGATATGAATTAGTTTTTTTTTTTCAGCTACCCAGACGTCGAACGACTGTGCGCTTACCCAGAATGAAAGACGTGAGAATTTTCTTGAGCATTGCAAATAGAACGTCGAAAAAACTCAACCCTTTCTTTTTCAGCCTCTTCATCTTCAGTGTCGTACACTCCGAAAGCAGCTAGCGAAGACCCAACCGCATTCCGCAAGCTAGGCGAAGCATCGACACTGACAGAAATAGTAGATTCACGAGAGAAAGCTGTAATACGTTGGAAGATGTTGTCTCTTTTGAATAAGTGGCAATATCCTTTGTTACTTTGAATAAAAATTCCTCTGTTTTTCTATGTGGTGAACTAGCTTGCAGTTTGCCAGCTAGTTTGCAGCCGGCGATTGTCTGATATGAAAATGCTTACCAGGTCGTTTTAGAAAAGTGTAAACCAAAAGTAACGGTTGAAATACGATATTGCAGTAACATTAGATTATCTCCTCTGGAAACCCTCACGGAGTTCAAATTTCGATGTTAATTTACCGGCATGAATGGTGCAAAGCTGTGTTGACGCTTCTTTTGCATCTCTGACGTCAAAGGTTGACGACCAAAATTGGAAACACTATCATTTTAGTGTATCCTAATAATTGCAAAAAGCCGCCTAATTGCCATCGCCTGAATTATTAGAAGGGTCTCCACTGTAGCACTACGGTATTCGTCCCTTTTTGCCGTCATACGGTATGCGACGGCAAAAAGAGACGCCAACGCCCTCTTTTTCCAACGCGCCAATGGCAAAGCGCATTAGCGCTTTGGAGAAAGAGGGCGTTGTTACCGTAATCTTCAGCGCTATAATGACCGGCGGAGTGAAGGGTGGGGGGGGGGGAAGGAGGGGGGGGGGGGATACTGAAGTCTGATGCATCTACAGGGTATCCCAAAAAGATGTGCACACTGTTTGATCGTTAATAACTCTCCTGCTTTCATGTCTTTTGCCGAGCTTAAAGAGCCTTTCCGTAGATCGAGGTTCAACTTAGATTTGCAGTGAGGAGCGAATGGTCGATTGTTGTTCATTACCGCAAGATTACGGTAGAAACTTCGAGGAAGATTTTAAGCCATTGAAAGCAGTTTTTGCCGGTTTTTGCCTCAGAAAGGAAACCAAAAAAGCCAAAAACTCTTGTACTGGACTAGTCAAAGTCGTTCACTCTAAATATGAATTTTGCACTTCAGTAAAGTGCTTCTTTCATAAGTTATTTCAGATTTAGGGTAACAATTGTTTTTCCAATGTTCGTCAGAAATGTGAATACGCCATCAGAAAAGCTCGAAAAACTTATGAAAACTCATGTAGTGAAATCAGCGCGCTTGAAGGCCTTGCCACACAAATTTTCAGATTTTTTGAAATTATTTCGTCAAAAAGCCTATTCCACAGTAACGCTGTATGCTGAGAGTTCATACCGTGATCCTACAGTAACGAAAAGTGATTGGTGATTCGCTCCATACTGTAAATCTAAGTTGGACCTCGCTCTACAGAATGGTACTTCAAGCTTGGCAAAAGACATGAAAGAAAGAGACTTATTAACGATCAAACAGTGTGCACTTCTTTTCAGACACTGCATTAGGCAAATTTCATTGGGTACATTTATTAATGTGTTTCGATATACTGCAGTAATACGGCAGTATCTTTTCAGTAACAGTAAGTTTACAAATAAGCCGTTGTTGGAAGGCGTCTCTGCAGTGGGTATGGATTTACTTACCCCTGAATTAACTGCAGATTTTGTGATATATCCATACATTAGAAGAGCATCAACGCTTTAGATTGCCGTTTATTGGAATATGCTAGATGAGAACATCTATGAAATTGCACATTGTAAACATATAGTTAGCTGTGTTCGAAACTCTGGATTAAGAAAGAATATTTTGGTTTATTATTAACAGACCTACGAAAAACCCGATAAGGAACAACTTAAGGAAAAAAACAACAACAACAAAAATAACGTGAATACATTGGAGTATAAAAAATGTTGTTGCTGTAAATAAATTAACCGAAATACAATCAAGTTGATAGGGTTCTATCATTGCTACTGCTTTGTTCTGTTGTATTGTTCCTTGCTGTGGGGTTTTTCCTAGGATCTTCGTATGCAGTAATAGAAAATAAAATAAGTAGTCGAAAGTCGAGTTGGTTTTAATATGTTCGAGTTGGCACAGCTTTATCATATCGAAAGTATCGAGTATTTCAGACATGTCGGACTTCGCACCTGGGCCTCAACTAATGAGGAAAAGGCGAACCGCCGAATATACTTGTGAAATCTCTTTACAAGCAGAAACCGAAAATGGGTTTAGAACCTTGTCCAGGAGATTTGGGGCTGGCACATTCTACGATTATCTTTTTGAAGTAGCTCAAACTGGGAAATCGCCAACTTGGGGAGAGGACAAGCGGCAATCTGTGACTTTTCAAGTGTGATACTGCTGCAGATGAATTTGTGAACATTTCCTTTTTTAACATATTCTTGAGGATGCCATAGACGATATCGAGGAGAGTTTTCGAAGCACAACCCGTGCAGAAAGCTGTTTGATTGACGGAAGCGAGGGTATGCGTATCTTCGACTTCGTGCTGCAAAAGATGAAGAATTTCAAGAATTTTCTCTTCACTTTTCGCAGGTAGGAGGGTATTTGCAAATCTGGAAATTTTTGGCTGATTTGGTCAAACAGCGGTTTATCGACAGCCAAGTTTTGCTCTGCATTACCAGATGTCATCGCGAGTGACACTATTGAACTTACTAGTGAACCAGTAATCTAAAGGTGCTGTTTGGGAAAGCGTTCCTTTGGGACCCCGCGCGGTTTCCCGCAATTTGCCCTTTTTTGAATTGAAACGCTTCCAAAAAATAGGACATTCCTCGGCTTCGGTAATTATCTCTGAAAGATAAGTAAATGCATGTGCTTTTAACACAAACAGCTCCATCCTCAGGGCGAATTATATACCGTCGAGCGGTTGACTGCACGACCAGACCACAGACTACGGAAACTCTTGTACCGATACGAATCGCTACTGCACAATTCGTGCTCTAGTGACATTTGAGCCGCACCGCACGTGCTCCTCAGTCTACGGCAAGCCTGTGCAGTCGGCTACCCCACGGCACTGTACCGATATGCGGCGACTAGACTTCAAATGATACTAGAATAGAAAAAAAGAAATTCCAAGTCAGTACTTGAATGCAAACTAAGCATCCCAGTACCGCAAGGGTGACCAAAATATATACTGATAGAATTTCTCTACTAAATGCTTGAGTTCAATTTGGCGCACCTTTCGCCATCCGTGGACGAACTCGAATGGAACTGATTGTAAAAGAAAGTGCTTCTTTTTTGTAAGCGTCAGATTATGTAGTCCGGGCTTTAGACAGCTTACTTATTCTTGAAAAGATAGTTTTCATCGTATCAGAAGAAAGAAATGAGACAACATTCCGAACGACCACCTACAACGCAGAAACATTTTATTCACAAATAAGAGACAATTTGAGTGCCTAAACAAGCGATAATATCGCTGCTGCTAACATAACATTAGTCAATTTGAGAATCTAGAAAAAAAAGAAGAACAAGGATTGAGGCACTGGATAAATAACAACAAAGACAATGAATCGCCAAAAAGAGTGTCCTCAAAAAAAAAAAAAACCATCAGACGCAACACAAGAGAAAAATCCACAAAACAGGGCCCGTACTTTGAAAGAGATCGAGAGTGATAAATGTTAGGTTGACTTACTGAGGTTTGATACCTCCAAAACTGAAGATCCCAAAGATTTTTCTTGTGAACGAGTAAGGTAAATCTTCGAAATAATGCCTAAGCTTTGGTCTCTTTCTCATGGATCCGAGCAATTTTTATGAGTGCTTTCTTCACATAATTTTTGTAGAGACTAGGATGTCTACGGCACTTCCTTTTCTCGAGAGAACACAAACCAATTAGTACTAACTTTTACCCAAATGCGTTGATGTTTCCAGGTATCAGGTAGCAGCGATTTTCATGCTTTTAGTTCAGGCCAACCCTTTTGTAAAAAAGGCCTTCACTTGATAGAAATAGTGACTGGCCTAGATCCATAGAAAAACACAAGAAAAGCTTCAGTCGGCTAAGAGCGACACTAACCGAAACGTCGATTTTCTGGAAAACAGTTTCAAAGGCATTGCTCCCGCATCAGCCTAAAATCTGGCGCTCTCTCTTTCGGCAAAGTAGACTTCAACGGCGTGCAGAGCTATCTCAATGCGAGCAAACAAAACTTCCGGATCAAACGATACATTCTGGATGATTCTTGGGGCATTGTTAACATTTTGGACGGTCCTTGGAGCATCACCATTATTACCAGCATCTGCCTGCCCATTTTGTTGTCCATTCTGTTGTCCATTTTGTTGACCATTTCGGTCTGCAAAGAGTATTGCAAAATATTGTGATATAGAACTAAAATTACTTTAGGCTCTCACAAAAGCAGAGCCTTCAAAGTACTTGTTGTACATCATGAAGGCGCGTCCCAGCCAAGACAGGGTTGTGGAATACATTTCTACAGTACATATCATTCTAATCAAGTCTCTGTCCAAATGCAAGCCGCAACTAAACGAAAAGAACGACTATCTTAAATGGCCCTGATGCCGCGAGTCAGTGGTAGTTTTCTGTACGGGACCACAGGATTTGCACAATCTGCGAAGCTACCCGCTCCAAACAAGGGGCTGCACTGTCGAGATGGTGCGGTAAAATTTGCGCGTGGACCAGTAGCTACGCCTGTAATGCCGGCCGTTTGCGCGCGTATATTACCGGCATTACTCACCGAATTTTCTCGGCACCGCAGCACCACTATATCAAGCAATCTACTCTGTTGTACCTTTGGTACTGAATCTAATTCCAAACTGCATCGGCCATTTCTTCCGCGTCTCGACTGCGGTTGCTAACCGATCTGGCAATTTGCTGGACGTCTACAAATCCACAAGAATATGCTTACGCGCATAGTTCTCGTAAGCCAACGAACATGAAAAATGTTGCTTGCACAAAGTGCTTTACTAACATGTATGAACAACAGCAAAAAGACAAATCGCATTCTTGCTTGACTAAAGGTGCGTATCGGGTCGGCAACATATCTCGACAAGAGGTCCTGCACTGAGTGGATGTCTATATGCCGCCGAAAGGGGATGCTTCCGCGCGGACACTAGTCCGCGCGGGGTGGAGCCTATCGGCGACATACAATCCCCTACCCGGTGTTTGGTTGCAGACATAAGCCGGGGAGGACTCTTCCCCCCCCCCCCCCCCCCCCTCCCCCCGCGTCCGTACCTCCACTACTCGCAGAGGTAAGCGCAGACACGCGCCCTGTCGCGAAATGCTGCACATGTGCAGATAGAAGCGAAAGAAAGCATGGATCCAACTTACCCCGCTCACGGTGGGAATGTCTATACTTGTTCGTCAGACTTCGCCTTTATTACATTTTATTTTTTCTCAATAAAAGGCTGAGTAATGCGTCTCATGTGTCGGCATGTTGAAAGCAATACCTTGGTAGGTCAGGAATTCTACAATCGTTCGTCTGCACAAGGCGATATCTGCCACAATCCGTACCATAGCTCCTCTGCACTGAAACTCAAAAAAAATGAAGCTAGAGTTTTGAGGCGGCAAGATGTCTCACCATTGGACAGATGGGATTGCGCCGATAAGAATAGTAGAGACAGTCGCCACAGAAAGTGTGGCCACAAGGAATTATCCTAAACAGTGTGGGATCAGGATGGAACTCGGCTCTTTCCCGGTTCGGCTCGAATAACGAGATAACGTGAAGGTGAAAAGTGGTGCAAAAAAAAAACCTGGTGTGCATGTTATGTTCACTCAGGGCGCAGTCCTAGTGTCTTCAAAATGCTGCGTATTTTACATGCTTTCTTGTACTATTTATTGACAAAAAATTATCGTTGTACACGTAATATTTCTCTCATATTCGTACTAATAACTTACGTCAGTGGAATCGTGCGGACTACTTCCAGACAAATCGCACATTCATCAGCTTGATTGTTCGCCATCCTGAAAGCAAAGTATGCACAGTCGAGTCGTCGACGGCAAGAACTGAGCATAGATTGCGGAGCATGTCCGGCGCGGCAAAACGGATGTACATATCGTATAAATCGCTATTGCAGAATTCGTGCTCTGGTGACATCTCATCCGCGCCGCACGTGCTCCGCAATCTACGCTTAGTCCGTGCGGTCGAGGACTCGACGATACTCGACAATATGCAGCTAATAGACTTCAAATGTTGTTCAAATTGTGTAAAAAGAAATCCATATGTCAGTAGAGATGCAGACCAAACATCCCAGTAGCGCAAGGGTGACAAAAAAAAAGTTACTGATAGACGTCTTTAACTATATGCTTTGGCTCATCGACTGACCTTTTCTAGACGGGCTCGAACGGAAAATTGTAACGAAGACAAGAAGCACAGTATCTCTCAAAAGAGTTAGATTATGCACATTTGTTTTCAAAAGGTAGTCTCATTGTATTAGAAGGAAAGTATAGATATGATAGAACATTCCAAACGATTGAACACACAGCAAAGAAATACTTTACTCATTACACACGAGAAGCAACAAGTATTTGAGTATCCAAACAATATTGATATCACTTGCTACAATCATAATCGATATGGATTCGAGAAAGACAATAAATAGAGATGAAGTGGATGATTACAATAAGTAGAGATGAATTGGATGATTGACAACGAAGCACGACCACGATAAATCTGATTGAAAACGAGTGTGCGAGTAGGTGGACGTTTGTACTGCCATAAGCTCGAACCTCTTCTCAAATGTGGTGTGCATGTGCCTGACTTCTCTTACTCTGTAAAAGCTCGAAATTCAAAGAAAGCCTATTACGTGAATGTTCTAACCATTTCGACCCATAGGCTAGGTCACGCAAAAGCGATATTCGCTCTGGGACCTTCTTATCGCGTAAGTTGCGACTTCCGCTACCGTTCATTGATTTAAGCCACTGCTTTTGCTTTATTGTAAAAGCTACTTACTTTCATAAGCGCAGTGCTTCGGGCATGTGAGAACCTGGCGCCCGTCACTAGGCTTTTTCATGATCTTGCGACAGTCAGGACATTTCGACGCCGACAAAAAGGTCAGAGCGTTCTTTTTGCAGTGGACCTTCAAAAATATTGGACAAGAACCTGAGTGGACATTATTGGGCTCACCTCCACATCAAATTTACGGCCTTCGAAAAAACGACTGATGAGTTCCAGATCTTTTTCTAAATAAAGGAGCTGACTATATCAAAATCTACAGGTGGTAAAGCAGACGGATACCTAGGCTGAACTCCTTAGCGGCAAGTTTAGCGCCTATACCCGAAGTCGAAGGATAGTCGTAACATTCGTGGTCACTAAGTTCTTCTTCCTCGAATTCTTGGAATACGAACGCCTTGGGCTTCTGTCGCTCAAGCTTCTGTAGCTCAGCTAGCTTTGCTCCTTTCTTGTGATGTATGTTCTTCTCCTCAGCCGTCTGCACAAGCTTGAATGTTTTCTTGTTTTTCTTATGTCTTCCCATTTTCCTAAAATGCAGTAGAATATTGGGAAATGTTACAGTATCCGCCTCTCTGAATAAGCGTCTTACTAATATAGAAGGGCGAACTGACCTTGAGTGGAATTCTCTACAGTAGTAGATTGTGGTGAGTGATATGAGTTGTTGCTAACGCACAATTACCCAGTTATCTCTGGAAAACAAAAAAATTAGCAACTTCAAACTAAAACCTCAAAAGTCAATGAGTGAAAATGACAACCGCGCCGGATCGAGTTGGCTGCGTCTCTGGCTTCACTCTGCTTCGCTGTGCCAACGCCTTACCTGTATAGACATGTTAAGTCAAGGGATGATACATGCACATCTCGAACTGCAAACTTCTCGAATATTCTGACCTCTATCGATTGCCACATGGCCGATTTCATTTGATTGAACAGTTCTCAGTGCTTTCTCTCAACTTTTTCTCTCTTCAGCGTCCAACCTTTTCCTCTCAGCATCTTTCACATAGTAGCCTGCGGGCATCGCATTAGTGACTGATATCCTTTGAGCTCCAAAGCATTCTATTTATAGAATTAATGAGTAGTAAAGCATTTTTTACGCAGTCACTTAGTTGTACTCGTCCTTTTCTCTATATATAGGTGTGACAGTGTTACTGTCACCTGCCCACTTCCTTGTTCTTGACAGCTACCACTCTGTACAACCGGGTGGTCCTGATTGCAGAAAAAAATATTTGGTTCTTCTTCAGGTGAATCATGAATGAAATGTATTTGAATGAAAAACATGGAGAAGAGCAAAAGTTGTTCAAACTAGAAGAATTGAAAGAAGAGAATGCGCCAGATTTTGTGGATGAAAATGAAGGTGAACATAAAGAGGAAGATGAAGAGGAAGATGGATCTGAGGCCCAGGATGCGGGAGATGAAATCCCTGCCGATGTGAATGAAACGAAAGAGGTAAATAAAAGATGCAATGAGGAATTACTTAGAATGCATAAAGAATGCAAAGAGAATGACGAGGAAATTGCCATAAATGACAAACAAAAGGAGATGGATATGCTAATGGAAGAAGAGGAAGAAATGTTAAAGATGATAGAAGATGTGGAAAACCACGAAGATAATGAGATCCAAATGGTTAGGTCCGTGACCAGCTTTCGAAAGTTCCTGGAAAAACACTACACTAAATTGGACTTTGGAAAATCAGGCAAGAGGTGGTTAAAGCTGCGTCGCCCCATGATCGCTTTCATAAAGGTGGATCAACTATTCTCCTACCTTTTTGGCAGAGGCTGGAGAGCGATATTTTCAGATCTTGGTAAACCAGTCCCAGACGTTTCGTTCGTATTTCCCGGAGTATCCGTGGAATGAAGAACAGGAGAAGCGGGTTCGCAAGTATACCAACTACTTTTGTACGAAATTAGGGAAACTTAAGAGTTTTCCCCTTTCTTTTCGAAGGTAAGTTTTAGAAGTAGGTTAAGCTTCAAGGAGTCAAATCTGTTTTCTCAGAAGTAAAGGGAGAGGAGGATTTGTAATTTTCATTCTATTTTTCCATACCAGGGCATAGCGAGAGAACGTGGAGGGGAGGGGGGAGGGGTCGCGAAATTTTTGAAATTCACCTACATGAATTGAAATAATGAGCGAGTGACTTGTTTATTCTTGTAGATAATTGAAATAAATTTCTGATTAGCCTGTCCCCCCCCCCCCCGAATGCAAATTCAGTAACACACTGCACCAATAAAAAATAACTATACATTGATGTAGAGCATCTAAAACTTATAATGCTAATGCCAAATCAAAACCGTCCATTTCTGACTGCATGCACCCTATAAAATTTCGTGATAGATTTGCACAGCATACAATCATCTAACGGATATGTTCAGCTAAACGCACTGGATTTGAGCCGATTGGAGAGACTGAGCTTTTTTTGACTCAACGTTGAGTAAACTTCACCAAAAAATTCTGCTTAATGATGTCGCTTTCTCCACGCTGAAATTTGGTGAAATAGCAATTTTACTCATCAACAGCAAAGCAAATAACAACCAATTTTTTAGACTAACTGTTCTCTGCTTGAGGTGTGGACAATGCCCTGGTAAGAAACAAATGATAGGCAAAAATTACACCTGACATCCACTTCCTTTCTACCCTCCCGTTCTTTTGACATTTGCCGAAAAATCACCATCCTCATCAGCATAACAATGTTTCGTAGCATGCAGGGTCGGAAACAATTACAGGTGAATATTCAGGTTGTGTGAAATCTTGCTGGATCCGACAAGATGCTGCTCTTCTATTGAAGAATTGATGGCAGCTTTTAGGACAATTTCTAGAAATATGAAGGCACCTAAAATAAAGATTAGAAAGCAGCAGAAAAAATCGAATTCGAATAAAAGCTTCGTAAGAAAGAATAGTTACGTTGTAAAGCAGATCACCCAGAGAGTTATTGTTGGCAAGAACATCGGAACTACCGGCTACGGTTGGAAATGTAAGATTATTTTTAAGCTTAGCAATGCTCGAAATTCATTTTCTCTTTTTAGTGGTGTCCGGTATACTTTCTATGGCGATCGAGACGAAAAGTAAGACGTATTTTGAGCATGAGCAATAAGAATTTTATGTTTTTTCAGATATCGGTACCCGGACATCACCATCTTCTCTCGAGAAAGAAGCGGAATGTGAGATTCCTTGAGTTTTGCGGATAAAACGTGAAAAAAAAATCTCCCCCTTAACATTTTCAGCCTCTTCATCTTCACTGTCATTTACTCACGAGACAAACGCATATCTGACCGCAGACTTCGTGAGAGAAAGTAGTTACACTACCATGATAGAAATAGGTTCGTGGCAGAAAGTTGCACTATGTTGCAAGATGCTGATTTTGAATAAGTAGTAATGTCGTTGTTGATTAATAAAAGTTGTTTTTCTATTCTTCTATGTCGTGACCTAACCGTTTGCAACCCGCAATTATCTGACAGCAACATTCATGTGCAAAGATTCAGCTTTCCTCGTGGTCTTTTTAGGAAATGTTAATCAACCTCAATGGTTAGTAATATTGGTAGAATCATTGGACAACTTTTCGCAATTTTTTGTAGGGCTGAAATTCAGTTAATTCACCAATGTGAATGGTACAAAGCTGCGTTGTCGCTTTTTTTTCATTTTTGACTTCAAAGGCTGACGATCATACTTGAAACATCAATATTTTACTGCAGCATGATAATTGTGAGAAATGGTTAGTTGCCATCGCCTGAATTATTAAAAAGGTCCCCACTGCAGCACTACGGTCTTCGTCTCTTTTTGCCATCGTACGGTATGCTACGCGCCAATGGCAAAGCGCATTAGCGCGTTGGAGAAAGAGTGTGTTGTTACCGTAATCTTCCGCGCGAAATAATGACCGGCGGAGTGACGGGGGGGAGGGGGAGGGGGAGGAGGAATACTGGAGTCTGATGCATCTATAAAGCAAATTTCATTGGGTACATTTATTAATGTGTTTCAATATACTGCAGTAATTAGTAACAGTAAGTTTACAAATAAGCCGTTTGTTGGAAGGCGCCTCTGCAGTGGGTATGGATTTAGTTACCATTGAATTAACTGCAGATTTTGTGATATATCCATACATTAGAAAAGCATCAACGCTTTAGAGTGCCGTGGTTTTATTGGAATATACTAGATGAGAACATCTTTGAAACTGCACATTCTAAACATACAGATGCGTTCGAAGCTCTGGATTAAGAAATTATATTTTGATTTATTAATGGAGAACCTACGAAAAACCCGATAAGGAACAACTTAAGGAACAAAACAACAACAACAACAAAAATAATGTGAATACATTTTAGTTGATAAAATTTTGTCGTTGTAAGTAGATTAACCAAAATACAATCAAGTTGATAGGGTTCTATCATTGTTATTGTTTTTTTCTGTTGTATTGTTCCTTGCTGTGGGGTTTTTCCTAAGATTTTCCGATGCTGTAAGAAAAAATAAGTGATCGAAAGTCGAATCGAATTAATTTGTTCGAATTGGCATAGCTTTATTAGATCACAAGTATTGAGTACTTCAGACATGTCACTGACTTATGACTTCGCACCTGGGCCTAAACTAATGAGGAAAAGGCGAAGGCCACCGAATATACTTGTGAAATCTCGACTTTACAAGGAGAAAGCCGAAAATGGGTTCAGTACCTCGTCTAGAAGATTTGGAGGTGGAACATTCTACGATTATCTTTTTGAAGTAGCTCAAACGGGAAAATCGCCGACAACCTGGGAGGAGGTGCAGGCGGCATTCTGTGACTTTTTCAAGGTGATACTTGCTGCAGATGAATTTCTGAACTTCTCCTTTTTTAACATATTCTTGAGGATGCCATATACGATATCGAGGAGAGTTTTCGAAGCACAACCCGTGCAGAAAGTTGTTTGATTGAGGGAAGCGAGGGTATGCGTATTTTCAACTTCGTGCTGGAAAAGATGAAGAATTTCAAGAATTTTCCTTTTACCTTTCGCAGGTATGAGGAGGTTATTTCCAGACTTGAAAATTTTCGGCTAATTTGGTCAAACAGCGGTTTATCGACAGCCAAGTTTTGCTCTATATTATCGGCTGTCATCGATGTCATAACTGATGTTATAATTTGCACTATTAATTGCCATTTGTGTGAATCTATACTTATACCTCCGCACCGCACTAAACTGCGAGCACTAAACTGCTAGCGATTTCAAAGCGTGCTAAAAATTGTTGTGATTTAACCGAAGAATCAAATAAGCGTGGCCCGGCTTCGAAATCCCCTAGCTGAATGTGGTTTCGTTTTCTCCTAAATTTTGCCACGTTACAGATTTATTTGTAGATGATTTTGATTAATACTGATGTAATTTGAGGCTATGCGAGCTGCTCACTTATCCGACGCGTTGGTACACGGATTTTCCGAAATTCATGCGTGCCTTGGAAAAAGTGATGGATGTTGAGGCTACGACTGAGCCTTCAAAGCCAGTAGCACAGGATGCTAATGATGGACAAAAAATCGTGTCATTGTTCTTTAAGGTATGCGGTTCATGCTGAGTGTTGCTGTAAGAAAAGTATAATTATAGATTATAGTAAAACTGCAAAAGATTTACTGATTTTGATATTGAAGTTGTAACAAGCCACCTCCATTTTATAGCTGTACTTTATTGAATAATTTTTTGCTGAAAAAGCTCTGAGGTTTATCCAAAACCTTAGATGTAAGTAGCTTGTCATGCTGAGAAGCATTGCTGTGGAAATGATAACTGGAGACAATTTAGATTATACATAAATTTAGATCCTGAGATAGCAAGTAAAATTACAGGCTACGAGAAAACAAAAGATCATAGCAGAAAGCTCAGACGAAGAGAGCGGAAGTGGGAACAAGGAAAATAAAAGCCATGGATCAGACTCTAGTGGTGCTCAAGATAACGATAAGCATCTGGATGACTGTATGTGCGAAGACTGCATAGTCCATCGTTATAACATGTGCCGCAAGCCTCCACCACCACCTCCAAAGCGTCAGAGTGCTGGAGCTGATCCCAACATTGATTCATCTTCTGTTACTAATGGAAAAAGAAAGACACGCAGTAAAAAGAGAGCACCCAAGAAGAAAAAAGCGCGAGCTCAGGTAAGCAGGTATCTGCATTTGTTTCACCTTTGCTCATGGACTGTCCCATGGTGCCCGTGCCAGCTCCATGTCAACACCGTGCTAACATGCCGTAGCGTCCACCTATCAGTAGGAGGCATGTCGCTTGCAGGGCGCTAACACAGTACCGGCACGATACTGACACAGAGCTGGAACGACGTTGACACGGCACCGGCACGGGCAGCACTGAGCGCGGCCTGAGATCCGGGGTCAAGGAGGCTGCGTGAGAGCAGAGATAGATTATTTTTCCAGTGCCGCAGCATACTTGGTTCTTTATTGCCTTCACAAAAGAGTTCCATACAGACAATTTTCAGAACTTCTCTACTAAATCAGTTTTATTTAGAGACGATTTGATTTTAGCCAAGCTCCCTTTGATACGTATGATGAGATAATAGAGGTCAGCTTTTTTGTATATCCTTTTTTTTGTTTTTGTAAGCTCCATTGTAGCTTCCGGATGGTGTTTATCCGCAAGACGTCCAAGGTGTGTACGAATGCATCAGTGATGAAGAAGCTAATCGTGAAATTGTTAGAGGGGTGAGTCGTTTATGGCTTTGATCAATCAGCAGCTTAGATTCGTGAGGGTAAGTGGTGGCTATATATTGCAATAACCGTATATACAGTGCTGGCCATAGCTATAAAGCCACTTTAAAAATCAGTGTAATTTGCTCTCTCTTGTTCGAAATTGTCTGAAAAACCACTATTCTGTGTGCAAACTAAAGTCATATTATTGACCAGAACGGCTCCCATTTTTATTGATTTTGGCCGGAGCAAAATTGAAAAATTTGAAAAAAGGGGTTCCCAAGGCTGGTCACAGCTATAAAGCCATCTCTCACTTCCAATCAGTACTACGTTTTTTGAACCTGAAATTTTTTGTACATATACAATATCAAAATATAAAACATTTAACACACTTGAAAGCAGTCGCCTTTTCGAAAAGAAGATTCATCCTGCATTTTTTGCTTCAAAATGTATAAAAAAGTATAATGTTTGGATAAACTGCCTTTTCACCGAATTTTCAAGCCTTTGTTTGACTCGAATATAGGTCCCAGGCTTTACCGAGCCTTTGCAATGAGAATAGTGAAAAGCGCTTGAGTCAACATGGCGTAGTCGCTGGTATTGATATACGAAGCTCAATCTTACTTAAGTGTAAACGCACTTCTGAAACGCAAATCTCGATTTCTGACGCGCGACAATTTTCGGTTAGAAGTTAACACCTTGTTTGCATGGTGACGTACTCATGCAGAAGCTGTCACGCTTTTTACAAAGACGTAATTGCAGCAGTGAACTCAGAACGCTTTGTCTGCAGTTCGGTTGTGCGCAGTGTATCTCACATGACTTCAAATTTTACTGCTTTGAACTCATCTTCAAGTCAAATCTTACAAAACTGTCAAGAATACTAGAATTTTGAAGTTTTGTGCGGTTTTCCGCTCGATCTAGAGGTCAGTGTGGCAGGCTCAAACAGAGCGCACCACTCATTTTTGGAAAAAAAGGCGTCCAAGGCGGAACCAAAATCCTGAGAGTTGCGATGACGTACAAGCTATGCGCGCGAGTCTATCGTTGTACAGGCGACGTGCTGAGCACGTGACAGAGCTTTTCGGGCGTTAGAACTCAGTTTCTGCGGTTCGAAAACTCGTCTACCTAGAGGTGAGGTTGGGGCTCGTTTATCAATATCAGTGACTACGCCGTGTCGACTCCTGCGCTTTTTACCATATTCATTGCAAAGGCTTGGCGAAACCTAGGACCTTCATCCGAATCAAACAAATGCTTAAGAATTCGGCGAAAAGGCAGTTTTTCCAAATATTATAACTAGTTATACATTTTGAAGCAAACAATGCAGGATGAATCTTCTTTTTTAAGAAGGCGACTGCTTCCAATTGTGATAAATGTTTTATACTTTGATGTTATACATGTACAAGAAATTTCAGGTTCAAAAAACGTAGTACTGATTGGAAGTGAGAGGTGGCTTTATAGCTGTGACCAGCCTTGGAAACCCCTTTTTTCAAAATTTTTAATTTATCTCCGCCCAAAATAAGTGAAATTGGGAGCTGTCCTGGTCAATGATATGACGTTAGTTTGCACACAAAACAGTGATTTTTCAGACAATTTCGAACAGGATAGAGCAAATTACACTGATTTTTGAAGTGGCTTTATAGCTATGGCCAGCACTGTATGTATCCGTCAGAATTGCTCTCATATGAACCATCAACGTGGCTGCCTTTTTATCGTTTTAACATGTCAACTTCAAATAAGCGCCTTAAATTTTCTGAATTCAACGTGTTAAAACGATCGAAAGGCAGTCACGTTAATTGTTCATTCGAGAACAATTCTGGGAGCACGATACTTATTACTGTAGTTGGCTTAAGAGCCTACCGGTTACGGTAGCAGATGCGCATTCACTTCAGCACAGGACGCAGCATGTCCGGTTAACTGCGTCGCACAGCTCTTGAGAAGCGTTGCCGATTTTTTGAGATTGCATAGACTGAGTGAGAAGCTAGAATATCTTACTCTGGATATATAAATTCTCAGCCAACGAACCTGATGGGTAGGTGCATCGGATCTAGTCCATTGCACTGTAAAAACAAAACTTTTTGAATTTCTTATTCAATAACCGTGTTCTATAAATAGAGCATCATTTGAAGTTAGTGTTTTGAACCTAAAGGTAGCAAAACTGAAAAATAATACTTTACTACTGTAGAAGTGCACCGTACCTCAGGTCTTGGCCATAATTTGGGATACGGTAACAAAAGCATTGTAATATATGGAGTAGATAGGGTATATCGAAAGATGCGTGGGCCTCAGTTCTGATAAACACTGTAGGAATGGTTGATTTAACATTTGAGCATTCTTAGTCAGTTATACTTTCAGGCACTAATGACAGTGTACGATGTAGAAGAATTTGATGGACTGGATTACATTCAGCAGGTAATTTTTCTAGCTAGTCCTTTCAAACGGTTTCACTTTTTGATTTATTGAATAGCCTGTTTAATCGCATTCTGTACGCACTGTTATTTGGAATGTTCTCACCCATCAGTGGGGCTTGCCAAACTGCCAAAGTGCCAAACTTTTCATACCTGGTAAGAGGAGAAGAAATAAGAATTCTTCAACAAGGCTGACTTGGATCTTGGGAACATCCCAAACATCGTTTTATTTATTTCCCAGTGAAAACAGCTTACTTGCACAATTTTGCAGAAAGATGTTGAGACCAATTCTCAGACCCTCGGTTTACTACTTCTACTTTGTATGCTTAATTTTGATAGGTCCTTGTAGGTATTGTGAGTCGCTATTCCCATTTAAAAAAATTTAAAAATTGTCTTTACTGGTAAAAGTATTGAGTTCGTACATCAACAAAGGCAGTCGATGATTTACTTTTTGATAATGTACGACATCCTACTAATCCACCCTTTGGCCATTTATAGGCTCCCTCAGCAGAGTCGAAAAAATTGAGGAATTCGTTTATTGTTCGGAGGGATTTATTACTTTTGTGAGCAGCATGTTTACGAGATGGCGGGGCCCGCAGGTCTTTTCCTCAGAAATATGCTATGCACATATTTTCTGAGACCGTGATTTCTTATTTCTATCCAGTAGGTCCTTACTACAATTTTTTTAATCTTAATAAATGCTGCTTCTAGAACTCATCTATATTCGCCAGCAGTTGATTGGTATGACATATTTAGGTCTCCTACTACCAACAATTGCCAGATGTCGCCTTGATTGAGGAAGAACATTCCTATGCACGTCCTACTGTGTATGCACTTCCAAATACTTCTGTCGGTGAACATGATTATGCTTCCCTTCCTCCTGCTAATGAGCATGATTATGCACTTCCAAGCAATGACTACGACGAGGAGATCAATGTGGTGGATTGAATGAGAAGTCTGTTGGTGGATACTCTACTCTTACTCTTATATTAAACTTTTTTCACTCTGTATAAAATTTCAGGTACTGTAAATGGAGCAAAATTGCACAATGCCACCGCTTTGCCGTAAGCGCAGCTTGTTCTATCACCGGTGACTCTACCACTTTTTTTCTGCTGTAATTTTTGTGATTGTATACCATAAGTATAGATACTCGAACTCGACATTTCAAGATAATATACCTCATGTAATACCTTTCATGTAGTTTTGCATTTTGTTTACTTTATCGCAAATTATGTGCGAGTTCTGTACCATGCTTTTTTTTCGCAGAATTCTACTTGTTCTTGCCGCTCGTATAGCCTTCAAGGTTATCTGCACTGTTTCTGTAAATAAATGAGTTAAATCTGTGAATGGGTCTTCTGCTGTTCCAAAGAAGAAAGATTTCTGCGACTAGGTAAATGTAATGAGCATTGTACAGAACGAATGTCCTGCATTGGCGACAACATTTGCGCGGAAAAAATCAACGTGAAGCGCACAACCTTCAAATACTGCACAGTATTTCAGTTTTGTACCTATGGGTTGTCGATAAAGGTACGCTATAGTAACCAAATCATTCAAATTACACGAGCTTACAAATTAAGAATGCAGGTAAGAATAAACTGACTTCCTCACATTTTCTCAATCGAGATCCAGGCTAGATTGAATAAGAGGAAATGCTTACATATTTGGTATGTCAGTGCATGCTGATAATGGGCAGATATGGATGATGTTTGCCCTCTTCTGTCAACATTGTTCCTGCTACGTCAGCAATCGAAAATTTCGCATCCGCGCCATCGATCGCTGTCGCGGGAAAGAGATGCATTCGAAAACCTATTTCACGCACCTGCAACTTTCCAGTTCGCTTTTCATCGTAATCCAAAAGTTTTCTCGTTTCTTTTTTTGGTTCATGTCAAGTAGAATTGATGATGGTGACATATTACTTGCAGAATTCTTTATTTATAAGTTTACTAACGCTAACTATGACGACTGTAAATATTCGTGGTGTGGACGTTATGTTTCCTTTTTCCCCCTATCAGTGTCAAATGGTATATATGGACAAAGTCATAGAAGCAATTGAAATGGTATGCTGAGACTTATTAGCTTATTTCGTCGTTAAAGAATGGTTGAGTTCAGAGATTTGATACAGCTTTGGAATCACCAACGGGTACAGGTAAAACCCTTTCTTTGCTATGTTCGACATTAGCATGGCTTCAAAAAGAAAAGTCGAAGATGCAGGCCTCATTTGCAAATGTCGGTGCCCTTGATGAAGTCAAATCAGGTAAGGAAGTTACAATTTCTTTGTTGTTGTTCTGTTTATCGAGGACTTAGGCTTGACTTCTGTGCCATCGTCGTTCTTACCAAAAATTTACTATTGCTCCAGAACTCATAGTCAGTTAGCTCAAGTAGTGCGGGAGCTGAATCGTACCATGTATAAAGAGTGCGTTTGAATTACTTTCACATTCCGTGAAGGAATTGGAAGAGCTTATGTTCAGCATTCGCACAACAGTGTTAGGATCGCGTGATCAACTTTGCATTCACGATAGAGTATGCAAGGAGCAGGATACAAGGGTAAAGGTAGGTTTAGAATGACTAATTTCTGTATTTCCTCGCATAGTATATGAGAAGTTTCAGACTGCTATGTGTCGTGGTATGGTATCAAAACGTACATGTCACTACTACAATAATTTTGATAGTAAGTCCCACGTTTTTTGTCATGTCAGATATTAGTTACGAAGTTCGTTTCGCATCTCCATTTTGCTTTCATAAGTTATAACTCTTTTTTCTTTGGATGAAGAACGAAAGATTTGTACATTGTGTGGGCCGTTATGCTCTTTCTTTTCGGCTTTTCTCCTTTTTAATGGCTTAGAAGTTGATATGGCGTTATTTATGCAGTAGTAGTTACAAAGCGGAACATACCCACTTGTGTTATAGATGAGGGCAAACTCAATGATAATTTTTGAAGTTTGAAGCACTAATCGCGCAGTTTAGGCTCGAATTTGGAGACTCTAAATGAGCTATTCACCATGAAAGGTGGCGTTCCAGACATCGAAGACATGATTATTGTAGGAAAAAAGAATCGGTATTTTTGAATTGCTTAGTTTTTTTGTAATTGATTGTACCTTATTTATATTGCAGCAATTCAGCTAATTTGTGCAGCAGCTTCTGTATCTATTTTGGCTTTCAGCATTTGTCCATTTTACCGTTGTCGTCAAATGCAAGAAACGGCTGAACTGGTTCTCCTGCCCTACAATTACATAATCGATCCACATCTGAGAAAAATACACAAGGTTGATTTGTCTGGAAGCATCGTCATTTTTGACGAAGCTCATAATTTGGTGAGTGCCAATCTACCTACAAATGAGCATCATTGAAATGATGTAGGAAAGCGTTTGCGAAGATGTTGTGTCGGTTGAGTTTTCTTCCCTAAATATAGCTATGGCGATCGATGAATTAAAGAATGCTATAGAATGTCTGCAAGATGAAATGGAGGAATTGAGGACGGAATTGGTAAGTACAACGAATCATTCTTCTTGGTGTTCGGCGTTTTAGCGATTAATTCCAGGACAACTCCTCTCAAGCATTCACTACGGGAGTGATGGGTGAGGGGAAACCGAAAGGGCCACCATTTCAGATTTCTGAAGCAGCTGTGCTACTGAGTAACGTATCTCTATTCACCCCAGCTATGGCTTGTTTTCAGCTCAAATGTCACATTTCAGCTATGTTGTTTGAACTGGAGACTAAGGTTGAGGAGACGTACAACGACAAAGCGGGTCTGAACCTGCAAGACGTGCCTGGAAAGGTAAATTCCGGGTTCTCTTCATCTCAGGTGTCTATACGACAGAATATGTACAGTGTAGGTATTTCCTGGTGATCGTCTCCTTAAAACTTTTGAGGATGCTGGAATATCCTTTGATAGGGCGGACGCCTACATCAACTTACTTACTAATGTTATCGACTATTTACAGAAAGAAAGTTAGTCGACCTTTTTTGGCAATTACGAACTCACAAATCACATTTCAGCGGACTTAAAACCCTCTTGTGCAGAGCGAGGGAAGAACCTAGAAATGTTAAGAAACTTTATATCTGTAGTTTATATGAGCCTTTCAAAGGAAGCCGCTTTGTCTATAACAAATAAGAAGGTAGCCAGTGACAAATTTGTATCTCAAATGACTGCATGGTTTCAGCTTCCAAATGGCAGTAATATAAAATCTGCAAAAATTGATATGGACGCAAAACGAGTTGGAAGACATTTTAAACTCTACATGGTTAAAGAAGAAGGTACATCTACTAAACCTGCTCGTGTAAGTGCAGTCAGAAAATCTTTTCGTTCGCACTGGGAAGCTAGAAGCTTTTCAGAAACTTGTTATTACTACCGTTTCTGTTCTAGACAACCGTCAACTTTTGGTGCTTCACTTCCGCTATTGCTATGCGATCATTGAAAATGAATGGTGTGAGAACTATCATCGTTACTAGTGGAACCTTATCCCCGTTAGTAAACTTCACTAAGAACATTGGCCTGTAAGCTTTTTTGGTTTTATACTTTTTCGAAAGAAAGTACATTTTTTGAGTGAATTTGGAAGCACTTTGGAAAATGAACATGCCGCAAAGGGCGACCAGGTATTAGCTGCTATAGTTTGTAGGTCTCCAATCAATCAGTTTATCCTGAACGGTTCGTTTACTAAGAGGTAAGCGCATTTTTACATCGCAAGCTCGTCGCTTTCTGAACTTCACTAACTAGGCATGACGACAAATATGCTCGAGGAATAGCGGAGTCAATCCTTGCACTTGCATCTACCGTCCCACAAGGTAGTAGCTGGTTTCTGAATTTAGTACTTTATCAGTTTTGCTTACATAGGAGTTCTGGCGTTCTTCGCATCTTATGGTCTCATGCATCATTTGATATCGCGATTCAAAGTTTTGCGCATCGACGAAGAGTCGTCTAAGACTTACTGGGAATGTATGATGATGTATAAGACAATCGTGGTCGAGCCGAAGCAGAAGGTTTCATTGCCAGTCATATTGGACTTACTGTATTACACTTGAAAACGCTTAGGTTGTTAATTCTTAGCAAGCATTGGTGCAAGTGCGATATGAGTTTACGCAAGGTGTTCGTAGTGGACAAGGCGCAATGTTCTTTGCCGTCTGTAGAGGGAAAGTAAGTGAATTGCTTTCTTTTATTGTTCTTTCTGTAGTTGATCAACTAATTTCAACTTATCTGTGTAGATCGTTCAAGATTTTCTTCTCGATAGGGAACTAGGTTTTGACGTTTAGTGGCAGACATCTGAACAGTCTATGATTCCAGGTCAGCGAAGGGATCGACTTTTCTGATGCAGACTCCAGAGCTGTGTGCATAGTTGGTATACCCTACCCACCTCTTATGGACGTCAGAATCTGCTTAAAACGGTTATATATCAATGAATTAGCAGCGGTTGACAAAAAGGTAGGTTCAGAATTCGTAGAAGCTTAGCTAAATGTTGTCATAGTTATTTAGGCACAATCATCGGATGAGTGGTACGTTACCGAGGGTTATCGTGCTGTCAATCAGGCAATCGGACGTGTTATCCGGCATGTAAACGACTTTGGTATCGTGGCATTGTTGGATGAAAGGTAAGTGGGCTAATAAAAACTGACACTGATAGCCACAAATATCTATGCTCAGTTTTGCTTTCGCTTTTTTTCTGTAATCAGAACTAGCTTTTATTAAGAGCACATAATCAACTGATACGAAGTGGTCTTACTAATCTACTTTTTGCTTGCGTGAGCAACTCAATAAGAATATCTTCAACAACTTCAGAGGCAGTGGTTCGGAAATGGACGCTTATCATGTTTTGGTAGTTTTCTAATCCCAAGTACACTTTAGGCCCATTCCTACCCTCTTATTCATGTGCTATGTCCTGAAAACTTACTCAAAAGTCCATCACCCTCGCCCACTTCCATCGAGCGAGTGTTGTTGCTGGGCTTTTAGAGCGCGTTTTTGGGACTTAGCGTATAAAGTGGCAAGTGGGGATCAGGCTACACTGGCCTAAGGCCCGTATGCACGTACATCCCTGCGGGGAGGGGATGTGCGCTTAACCATTGAAATGATCCCCGCTGGGGATCCCCTCCCCTCCCCACGCGAACCCCCGTATGCACAAAGACAATATCGGACAGGGGATCCCCTGTGGGGAGGGGAAGTGAACCCCCTTATGCACAAGAGGGGATCAAGCGGGGAAATCACCTTGCTTTCAAATTTTCTATGAAAAACTCTTTCTTATTTCATATTTTGACTGCAACTCATCTTCATCTCCTCACTTTCAATAATTTAGGGTTGCGGAGTGCGCGTATGCGGTGATTGCGCTTGGGGCACTAAAAATGATTTTTTCTACTCCCATAATGTTCCTGCTTTCTTGGATGCTGCCCACTTTCGCTCATGCTGCCCCATTTCAGCGTAAAAATGTTGAACTATAGAAGTTGATGTGCCTCTGCAAGGGAACGGGTAGAAGACGTTATGCTGCCGAAAAGGGGGGGGGTGCCGCGCGGACGCTCAAAGAAGTATTCTAACACATAACAGAAGCTGCAAATTGTGCCAGCTCTCCATAAACGCTGTAGCTATCAGCTGCATATCGTGCTTTATCTCAGGGGAATGATCCCCAGCAGCCATCCCTGCTATGCACAAGGGGAACGCTGGGGAGGGGATCACTCCCCAGGGGATTTCTACTCAGAAATAGGCAAATATGCTACTTTCTAGATTTTTTCGAGGCAGCTTATGTTAAAATAACAAGATAATGGCAACATGTCATGAAATATGAAAGTTACAATGTGTTTACTCAGTCTATGTAGTTAAAACTATTATGTTATATGAAAAATGCGCAAATTTTCTGAATGATCAAGAACTCCTACAAATAATCGAAATTGGCAGCTATTATTGCTCGGATTTTTTTCTCAAGAGGCGAATATAGAAAAGAAAGACAAATTGCAAGCCACAGGTCGCTGAGAGAAGAACTCGGCTTTCGAAGAAAATCCTCCATCAAAATGAACGAAATGCTTGGCAATGACTGAGCAGAACCAGAATATCCGCGTCTCTGGCATGATCTACAACATCGAACCCCTACTTCGTTGCAGGGGATGTCGATCCCCTCCCCCGCGTTATTGAGTTGAATTCGCGCATACGGGGTTCGAGTGGGGGAAGGGAAGGGATCCCCTCCCCCATTCGAACCCCGTATGCACTGGGGTTCGCTCGATCAATACCTCTGAAACCATTCACATCATCCCCGCTTAGGTGCAGGGGAGGGGATCGCTCCCCTCCCCTCTGTCATGGCGGGGTTCGGCGGAGGGGATCGTTCCCCTGGGGATCCAGCTCCCCTGCCCTCCCCAGCGGGGACGTACTTGCATACGGGCCTTAGAGGCTCGATTGCCTGACATTACCAAAATCTGACCACTGTCGATTTTTCCACGCCAGTGCCTTCAGTGGAAGTGTGTTGTGCAAATTGAGAGAGTTACATAGCATCTCTTTGTTGTTCGAGCGTCGTTGAATGTTGAGTGAAGACTTTGACTAGCAAGTTTTTTCGGCCTATATAAATTGCTGCGCACTATTTCTCAAATGATGTAGTTTAGTCACTGACCCTGTTTTGCCTGATAAGACTCCCACAGTGCTTAAGTAAGTTGCATATGAATTTCGGGACACAGCCAAGTACTGGTTCCAAGCACGTCACTAATCAGAGCGTTTACATAAATGTACCAATGTGACTTGAACCTGTTTTATCCTCGTGAAATACATTCCTTCTTTCTGAGTGAGACACTTTTGCTCTATCTCTATAGGTGGAAGATCTTACAGTTCGTGTTAATCACGTGCTCCCTTCTCCGTAAGCGCAGTAAGTTTCGCGCCACGTTCGCGCGCGTATGGCTCGGGCATTCAAATTGTCCTTATCGATTGGCGGTCCGCGCGCAGGACCCTTGCGTTGCGCATGCGTAGGTCCCATGCGAAAGGGAGTACGTAATTGACATCGACTGTATGCAGATCTTCACATGTTTGCATAGAATCGAACAGTATCATGTAAGTATTCATGCTTGTTTGATACACTGCAAACATACAAAACCCTTCTCCTGCTTTCTATTTTCTGTACTGAACCATAACATCTCCTTCCTAGGTCCAAGATAAGCAATTGGAGCTGTCTTTGAAAGACTTTTGAGAGGTTACAGTGAACATAGTGCTCATTTTCGTTGTCTGCATTTCAAAACTCTTCCTTTTTTTTGGCAATACTGCTGGTCTGAGCACCACTTGCCACCATCACTCTTAGGCCCGTATGCACGTACATCCCCGCGGGGAGGGGATGTGCGCTTAACCATTGAAATGATCCCCGCTGGGGATCCCCTCCCCTCCCCGCGCAAACCCCCGTATGCACAAAGGCAATATCGTACAAGGGATCCCCTGTGGGGAGGGGAAGTGAACCCTCTTATGCACAAGAGGGGATCAAGCGGGGAAATCACCTTGCTTTCAAATTTTCTATGAAAAACTCTTTCTTATTTCATATTTTGACTGCAACTCATCTTCATCTCCTCACTTCAATTAATTTAGGGTTGCGGAATGTGCGTATGCAGTGACTGCGCTCGGGGCGCTAAAAATGATTTTTTCTACTCCCATTATGTTCCTGCTTTCTTGGATGCTGCCCACTTTCGTTCATGCTGCTCCATTTCAGCGTCAAATTGTTGAACTACAGAAGTTGATGTGTCTCTGCAAGGGAATGGGTAGAAGACGTTATGCTGCCGAAAAGGGGGGGGGGTGCCGCGCGGACGCTCAAAGCAGTATTCTAACACATAACAGAAGCTAAATTGTGCCAGCTCTCCATAAACGCTGTAACTATCAGCTGCATATCGTCGTTTATCCCAGGGGAATGATCCCCAGCAGCCATCCCTGCTATGCACAAGGGGAACGCTGGGGAGGGATCACTCCCCAGGGGATTTCTACTTAGAAATAGGCAAATATGCTACTTTCTAGATTTTTTCGAGGCAGCTTATGTTAAAAAAAAAACAAGATAATGGCAACATGGCATGAAATATGAAAGTTACAGTGTGTTTATTCAGCCTATATAGTTAAAACTATTATGTTATATGAAAAATGCGCAAATTTCCTGAATGATCAAGAACTCCTACAAATAATCGAAATTGGCAGCTATTGTTGCTCGGATTTCTTCCCAAGAGGCGAATATAGAAAAGAAAGACAAATTGCAAGCCACAGGTCGCTGAGAGAAGAACCCGGCTTTCAAAGAAAATCCTCCATCAAAATGAACGAAATGCTTGGTAATGACTGAGCAGAACCAGAATATCCGCGTCTCTGGCATGATCTACACCATCGAACCCCTACTTCGTTGCAGGGGATGTCGATCCCCTCCCCCGCGTTATTGAGTTGAATTCGCGCATACGGGGTTCGAGTGGGGGAAGGGAAGGGATCCCCTCCCCCATTCGAACCCCGTATGCACTGGGGTTCGCTCGATCAATACCTCTGAAATCATTCACACCATCCCCGCTCAGGTGCAGGGGAGGGGATCGCTCCCCTCCCCTCTGTCATGGCGGGGTTCGGCGGAGGGGATCGTTCCCCTGGGGATCCAGCTCCCCTCCCCTCCCCAGCGGGGACGTACGTGCATACGGGCCTTAGATCTGTGCAATGTTTGCGCTTGGTGTTTGGCGGCGAAAATCAAATAAACGCCAAACTTAATCCCTTGAATATTAATGTTCAAGAGTTTTTGGCGTCACTTTCAAGAGACAAATCTGGAATATAACTTCCTTTCGAAGGCATCAAAAGTAGTAAGGGTTTTTCGATTGATTGCTAGATTTTACTGACAAGGGAGGTGTTTTCGGTTGAAGTGGCCTTTTCACATGAATTTGACATGGCTATAAAGAGCATCAAACGCTGATTCCAAATCTGTCTTCGTTATCTGCCGAGCGCCTCTGGACGTCGAGTTATGAATATTTTCTCGGTGCGAAAAATGAACGCATAATCTAAGTAAAATAAAATTTTACGGTTTTCTCAGCGCTCAAGTAGAGCAGTGTTAAGTATGAGTGCTTCAGATAGAAGGTATTGTTCAAATAAAGTGCTTTGATAATCAACATTGGACCATTTGAGCAAATCTGACGAATACTGTCCTAATTATGCATTTGATTTCTCAACTCAAAAAAAGCTCATAACTCGACGTCTAGAGGCGCTCGGCAGATAGTGAAGACAGATTTGGAATCAGCGTTTGATGTTCTTTATAGTCGTATCAATTTCATGTGAAAAGGCCACTTCGACCGAAAACACCTCCCTTGTGAGCTATGCAAATGGCTGTCTTTGAGATTTGCAAAAATACGACACGATTACTTTCCGTCGTGGCTCAGAGGATCACTCAAAACCTTCGATGGAGGAAAGGATTTTTTGGCAGCCACTGGACAGTTTTTCAAAGCAAGAAATGTTGACGTCAAGGTATCGAGTTTAAAATTTGGAAATACGAAACAAAACCTTTTTTAGGCATCTAAGATTGTCCTGTCGCGTGAGATACCAAACAAGAGCAAGGCCACTGTCAGAAAGCGTGGTAATGCTGTACCAGCGAATGTGGCGGTTAAGGAAGAGTAGGCTCCTTTCTTGGTGTTGATACATCTTCCGATAGAGGTCTCTTGTTTCAGAAGTGTTTTGGATTATGAGATATACTCGAAGAAACCTTCCTATACGATAAAGGCACCCGTCAAGAGAGAGGTGGAGGAAAAACCTGATAGTCTGCTGTCATTATGCGTATGTTAGCAAATATCGATAAGAAGTTTGTATTTTCATATTCTTATTTTTTGACTGTCATTATGCGTGACTCAGCATACATCGATGAAAACTTTTATATTCATTGTTATATTGTGACCATTTTGTTCTATTTTTAACTTATATTTTTGCCCATTTTAGGACGAAGTTAAACCCCTGAGCAGTAGCACTGCTCCGGTTACTGAAAACTTTGATGTTCACACTGTAACGGATCAAGGGAGCAGCTTCAGTCAGGCTGCCGCTCAGCCAATTCGGAAGAAGCTCAGATTAACCGTAGGTTTTCACTTTTGCTTCTTTTTGTAATCACTCTTACACTCTGATGAGAAAGAAACACCGTCCCAGCTGTAAACTTTTTATACTGGAGGAGATCAGTGACAGCTGATCAGTCATTTGAAGAAAAATGTTGAACATACTGCTGTCTTAGTGTTTATAATGAAGGTGCTTTACCACCACACCTTCAAATTACTCGTCATCACTCGTTTCTAATAGAAATCTGATTACATTTACATATATACAATGTTCACAAATGTATGCGGGGTTGTTAAAGCGAGCGCTATGTTGTGTAGGGCGGAGGTGGATCCCTCATTAACGCCACTATCAGTTCCTCGTCTGGTGTTTGCCTGAAAAGAAAAACAAATTAGCATCGTATCGCAAACTAACTCCTAGAGAAGTGTTACACGAGGTGAGAAATGCAATTCTGGAAATGAAAGTGTTTGCGCTTGTCTTAATGATTTGAGAGGCTTGCTGGACTTTTCTGCACGTTTTTTTCTTGCGTAGGCAAATTTACAGCTGCGGCTGCAGACGAGGGAGAGAGAGAATGAGTAAACTGACTACCCATCGCTTGAGTAAAGTGCAACGTGCATCGCATGGTTGTACTAGCATCTGAAAAGCTGTTGTCGAAAGGAAAACACAGAGAAAGGGATGGAAAAGTGCTTGACCAAAGACTGTTCGAGAACTTTTCTTTGCAGAAAAATAATCAGCAACTAAAACAGCGAGGTGCTTACCGCTTATTCCGTAAGAGAATATGTGCCAAGGTGTTTTCCAGTCGTCTGTCTCGAATTACTGCTATTAGCGGATTTGCTATGCAATGTACTGAATAAGCAGCCATTTCAATGCCCATAATTGAGTCGGCTTCCTATAACAAATGAATCCCTTTTTTAATGTAATTAGCGATAAGAATATACCTTACTGCCCTTCTTAGATTCCCATAACACCATCATAACAATGATGATGAATGAAAGGCTATTGAGCAATAACCATAGAGCTGCTGTAGCAGATTCTTCGAGCATTCGTGCTCGTTCCGGCTCCTAAGTTGATTTATACGGATTTCATTCGTTGACTTTTTCGGCAGTATGCTACTCATTCCGAGCAACATCAGCCCTTTCTTCCTCTATTCCAGTTAGGTAATTTTACAGACAGATGCATAAATGTGCTTACTGGCCACTTTTCGACCCAATTAGTGCGCACGCCAAAGAAATCTCGAACTAGCCTTTGACGTAGTGCCCCGAACAAGGAAGTAATTGTAAATGTGCGCACTCACCTGAGAATTTGGTCGACTTCTGCTGAGCAGGATAAGATTCAAAGGGTGAACTACGAGATTAAGCATTAGGAATACGGACAGTAGAGCTAGATGAAATGGTACGGCCAATATTAACGACTGCGATGTTCGCACAAGTAGAAAATCTGCTAGAAGAAGAATCGCGACGAGAACCCAGCTGCTCGCAAGAAGCCGTGAAGATTGAGATCTGCAAACTTGGGCATAATGGGAAAAATGTCGGACTTTTTCTGTGAGGGGAGGGGTCTAAGAAAATGGATAGAACAAAGCTACACTGCTTGATAGTTTTTCTTTGCTACATTTTCTTAGAACCTGTGATGTGTGAATGTGATTTTTTTCTACGGCGACGAGAAACTGCATTATGCTTGTTCGCTCGTGATTGCAAAGCAACAAAGGCGCGCATATTGCTGGATATTTCGGCAGACTAGAAAGATGAAGCAAGTGGTTGCTGGTTGGGTATTCTTCTTCGGAAAAGCAAAAAAAATTTTTTTTGGGAACTTGAGCTATAATTATCTCTAAATTGCTCGATATATAGCAGTCAGATTGTTGTGAAGGTCTTTGAATGTAATAGACTAAAATCTTGAAAACTGCGTGAAACTTTCAATTTGAGAATTCTGCATGAGGTTATTTATGCAATTTATGTAGATCGAAACTTGAGAGCATTTTCGTGGTTGCTCGCCTTCCGTTATTTCTCCATTTCTCCATTAATATTTGTGAAAGAGAACATTTGAACTTTTGAGTTTACACGTCTGCGAAGCCAAGTCACTTTCTAGTGTGGGCGAAGGGCATTCGTTGAGTGCTGAGAAAAGTTCAAGAAGTGAGCCTTGGAGCACAAGTAGTGTGATTTTTGGCTAAGTCACAACTGCGCTGATTCCCAAGAGAAATGTTGGCGTTGACATGATGCATGCTTGGCTGCGTTATAGTTGGTGACGGCTATTTGTGACTTCAAAAGTCACAAATTATCTCTCCAGGACAAATACGCACACACATATTCATGTGGTTAACTTGTTTTCTTTCTCAGACACGTGAATAATGTTGTAAACAGGAAAAGCGCACGTGTTCTCAGGCTCAACAGCTATACGATTATTGCAGAATTTTGCTATCACAGTTGGGTAGAAGCAAGGTATTATGGAGCCGTTGTGGGAATAAAAAAAACCTGAAGAAAAAAATCGCAGAAAAGCACGAAACTCACTTGGATAAGTGATAATTATGCCGAGAAAGTGCATGTACAACTCCAATAGTGAGAAGACTGAGCAGACTGACTGTGGAATTAAGCAACACAGCAGCAGCATGTGCTCCAGATTGTTCAACACTGCTCCAGCCATCATTCCATGAACGAACTCGTTGCACTGTATCACCATTTATCGCCATCTGAACAGCTTTCCCTTGTTGTGGAAAGACATCTACAGCGAAATGATGTGTAGATGACACTTACGAAGTTGTAGATGCCATCGATAGAGCAGTGGACGACATTTTGATATGAGGGAGTTAAACTGAAGAATATAGTAACTATGGCTGATATGCAGTTACACAGCCAGAGATTACAGCTGAGCAGATGAGTGGTGGAGTGCAGATGTTTGTCGGAAGAGATGGCGATCAGTACGAGCAGGTTGAAGGCGAAGATGAGCAGGGCGAGCAGGAAGTTGAACGCCGATGTCCACATCAGTGCGACGGCTTCGCGCAGTGGCGGCGGCACCCACGACAGTACCGCGACAGTACGCAGGCGGGCGGCGAGCAGGTGTGACGAAGCGGTTGCGACCGAGTGTCTGGCCGATACGAGGGCGTAGCGCCAGTGTGGCGACACACTCACTGCTCTCCGCTGTGGGTTTTCGTTGAATTCGCAGTCCTCCTCTCCGGCCTATCGATCACAGCCCCCCTCGCACTAGCCTCCTGAGCGTCATGAAGCGGCCGCTCTTAAAATTGTTTCCAATGAGGTTAGCGTGCGTTTTTTTTCTGATTTAACCACCAGCACTCGGCGCCAGATTATACATAAGTGGACGTTGTTGCACCCTAGCGCCCGACTGGTTTCTCCCCGACACCCCGCGAATCGCGCTTCGTAGAAAAATGTGAACTTTTAGTCGTAACGACCACTTCAACAAGTTTTTTCGTTTCAGTCAATTGAGTCATCAAATTCCTGCTGACTCTATTCTACTTCTTTCTTACTTTGTAGTCAATTCTGTATAGAAGTGAACAAGTTTTGCTGTTTGGTCGGTGTACACTGCTCCTGAAAATCTTCGGAAATGTGCATGTCTAACGAATTTTACCCTGCTATTGACGCAACGCTGGCCATCTGGCCTTTGGTTTTTAGTGAGATTTCTTCCTGGTTTGCATATACAGGGTGTCCCAAAAGTAAGTACACATTTTAAATTTCTCCTTCCGCAAATCCTTAGCTTAGAATTGAGTACCATTCAGTAAAGCAGGCCTCAACTTAGATCTATAGTATGGAGCAAACCACCAATTACTCTGCTTAGTGTAGAATTACGGTAGAAACTTGCAGCTTACAGCGTCATTTTGGAATAGCCGTGTCAAAAAAATTTCCAAATAATCTGAAAAGCTGTGTAATAGTTCACGCGCGCTGATTTCATTACTCAGCTTTTCACGAGTTTGTATAGTTTTTCAAACGTGTAATCACATTTTCAAAAAGTAATGTAAAAGCTGCTATTGCGATTTACTCGGCATAGCTTATATAAAGTACTGCGGTAAGGTGCAAAGCCCATATTTAGTGTCAGCAACTCTGATTAGCATAGTGTGTAAAAATTTTCAGGCTGTTTGGTTTGTTTTCTGAGGCGAGCTGGCGCTCTTAATTTATCTATTTATTTGTGCATAGGGATGCCCCTATGAAAAAGAAACAAACAAACAACAACAAAAACAAAACGATCAACACAACAGCACCTGAACAAAAAAGTATGTTGGTGTGTTTTCAGGAAGCCTCTCAAAAATTTTTTGAACATGGTGAGTTTAGCGACGGACACTCTCTTCCTCAAAAGTAAATCTACATCATGCGCCACTCGGCACGTGAAAAAGTGCCTTTTAACATTTCGCCTAGCCTTTGGTAACACAAGCTTTCTTCCACCTCTAATTAGAGGATCTAGTCACAAAAAAGTTCCTCAAATCGAGCTTGTATGTTCCAAATATTATTTTGTGCACCGTGATAAGATCGAATTTCTTTTTTCTATAAGCAAGACTTGAGAGCCCAAGATTTGCTTGACGGACTTGACTGCATGGTATTTGATCATGATTGAAACCAACCGTCCTAATCAGTAACCTTCTTGTAAATTGTTTTGTACTTTCTCCAAATAGTTGATTGCCTTTTGGGTATGTGGACTATAAATGACGTTACTATATTCCAACATTAGTCTAAATAGAAGTCTTGTAAGCCTCCAAAAGAATATCACGATCTGTGCATGACAGTCCTCTGTACAAATTGTTGCCGCCGTAGCCTTGTCTACAATTTACAATGTTCATCGAGCGAAAGACTACTTGTGACCAGACCCCAAGTCTCTAATTGAGTCAGCAGCTGCAAGTGGCTACCTTCTAAAGTGTAGGGGCGTCTTATATTACTGGAACCTAAGTGTAGTATTTTTGTTTTTTCTTTTGAAATAGGCAGACCCCATACTAATGACGAATCAAGCACCTCATCCAATGCATCTTGTATGTTTACGTCCAACGTCATCATTTGCAGCATTGTAGAGCTTGACATCATCCGCGAATGCGCTACAAGAAACTCCTTTAGACAATGGTATGCGCGGAAGCTCATGAGTGAAGATGTTGAAGAGAATAGGCGAAAGAACACCCCCCCCCCCCTGTGGAACTCCACACCGCATTCTTCTAGGGGAAGAAAACGTGCGATTGACATGGACCACGAATTTCCTCTCACTCGAGAAAGCTTCAATCCAAGCTACAATCCGTGAATGTATTCCTACGGCTATAAGTTTGGAGATCAACTTACTGTGAGGAAATTTGTCAAATGCTTTCGTAAAATCTAAATAAATCACCTCAATACTCTGACCCTTATCTAATTGTCCAATCATTGACTGCTTGTAACATAGCCGTAACAGTAGATTTACCGCTTTGAAACCCGTGTTGCTCACTTGCTATTACCTTATAAGTCTAATTAATTGCTCCAAACCCTTTCTTAACTTCGTACCGTAATCTGCAGTAATGAAGAAAGATGGATAATTTGCTCCGTACTGCAAATCTAAGTTGAGGCTTGCTCCACTGAATGGTACTCATTTCTAAGCAAAATGTTTTGGAAAAGAGAATGATTAAGGATTGAAAAGTGTGTACTTATTTTTGTGACACCTTGTATCTCCCAGAAATTTTGCAATGAGCTGGGTTTAGCTTCAACTTTTGCTAATACAGCAAAGGAAAAACATAGTCTCTAATGGCGCGAGTCACTGCTGAAATTGACTGTCGGTAATGAGTTAGTAATCTACTAAAAAGTCAGGTAGAGTGTGGCATTAGTTATTTGCAAATTCTGCTTATATTTCAACTCCTTAGTAAACACTTGAGAGCATTTCATTTTTGTATGTATCTTGAGAAGGACAATTTGATCCTTTTTCCAGATCTATGCGCATCACGAATGTGCTTACAATGTGCTTGCTGTTAGGAATATGCTGTTAAGCTGATTGTACCATCTTTATAAGGCTTATCAGCATTTTCAAAGAACTGGTCACATGGACAGAATTCTCATTTGATCCCCTATATCTAATGCTTGTAATAAAGTTCCATGTAGATAGAACTCTTCATGCAGTATGAAAAACCTTCCTTTATGCAGATTCGCAGACATTTTATTATTTTCTTAGAATTTTTAGGCTGAACATTCCTTAAAATAATTGATGTCTAATCCTTGGAGACTGACTATGGATCTTCTTTTCCCGTAATAACGTTTCGAGTATGGTAATCAGAGAGTGGTCTACATGAGTTAAAAAATTTGATAGCAATTTGTTTTGGTCGTAATCGCTCCAGAATGTTCAAAATCCAAGTTAGCTCTGTTACCCTTTTATCTTACAATAATTCATGTTATTTCAAGAGAACCAAAGGTTTTTTCAAAATTTTTTTCGATGGCGCGGTCAGCGCCAAGCCTCGTTTTGAAATTTTTTTTCTCTGATTTCTTTTCCCTTCTCGCTCTACCCTTCTTTTTTTTTCCCATATATCTTCGTTTAGGTGAGCTCATTTTCCAGTCATCCTAATTCAGCGCATGATGATTTCTAAAGTTTTTGGCTCTGTATTAGGTTGGAACGAAAGTTCTGTCGCACAATTTTACAATTCATCACTTTATTATTGCTGAAATATCTTGTGTGGATTTTGTTCAAAAGAAGAAATCATCTTCATAACGGGACTTTAGCGGCTTTTATTATGCATAGATTGCATAGATAGGGGCTGTAAAAGAAAATCATTCAAATTTTGATTTTTATGAGTCTGGTCGTAAAAATCTGAATCTTGCGATACAGTCGATTTTATAATTTCTGTTATTTGCTTTTTCTATTTGAACAAAGTCTGCGCGGATTGGTTGCCTCTGTGAAAAGTTGTTATTTTCGAGAAATTAGAAGCGATGTTTTGTATTATTTGCTCAAAAATCGTAAGTTCTCATTGAGACAGCCAATCCGCGCAAACTTTATTTAGTCGAAAAGAGAGAATAGAATTCATAATATCGACTGCTTGGAATTTTATCGCAAGATTAGGTTTTTACGACCAAATTTGAGTAATAGAAATTTGAGTGGCTTTGTTCTATAGCCTCTATCTATACAGTCTATGAATAAGAGAAAGCTGCTGAAGCCTCGTTGTGAGAAGTATGATTTCTTCTTTTGAACGAAATCAACAGCAAGGAATCTCATTGAGAACTAAAAGTTTTGTGAACTTTTGAGAATGTTGCGACAGAACTTTCGTTCTAATCTAACATAAAAAAGTTTGGCGTCCCGGCCCAGCCCTTTGCACTTAAATTCACTTACTAAATAAAATTTTCATAGTGAAGAGTCGTGGAGAAAATCAGTTCGAAGAAAGTTCATTACTGTTAGGTTGTTCGTGCAAGAAAATTCATGGAAATGTCACCTAGAGAGAAAAGGAGGACTGAATTCAGCTTATCAGAAATCATCAAAATAAATTTTCGGTTTCTTCCCATTACTCCCACGACTCTCATTTAGAATGATCATCAAAAAGAAAGGCCGTTTGCTTTCAACTTGAATAACTCTTTCACGGAGTCTCGTAATTACTAAATCTGATTTATCTAATGTTCTAATTGTTTCAATTTCACACAACTAATTGATGTAGTTTAGCGCGGTCCGAGCAATGTTGCTCAATCGTCACGTGCCAGCCAAACAATCAAATTGCCACCTGAGTATGAAGAAGCGATGTACATCACTCCTAAACAGTATTTCTTGATTGTAAGTGCTTCGAGTTACTCTGGTTATGAACTCTTGAGATTGCTTCAGTTAACCAAAATCAAAAAGTGCAACGACGTTGCTGGTGTGATGAAAGAATTCGCAAAGGGGACCAAGTCTTTTGGTGATATACTGCAAACCCTAGAGGACAAACTTCTTCCAGAACATCCAGAAGCCTTCCTTGGTGAGTCTTAATCGCTGGGATATACCGTGTATCGGTCATCGTAAAATTTACTTATACAAAAGTTTTTTTTGTAGGAGCTTGCTGTATTATCGAGAAACCTGAGCAGAAACAGCTACTGGTACAACGTGCTTTAACTCTGAAACTAAGCTTATGAGCAGGGTCAAGCGTGGTGTCAGGCGCGTGATCTGAGGAGGGGGGGGGGGGGGAGGAGGGGGGGGGGGGGGGGAGGAGGGGCGGGCCGTATTTTTCTGAAAGCATGAAGATTGAACAAGGTAAAAAAACAGAACCGCTAAATACGATAAATATCGTACCCTAACCTAATTACAAGTTCGTATTGAATACGATTATAAATAGCGCTATCAACTCTACTAAATCTCAGCAGATTGCAAAACATTCACCGTACACCTACCTGAGCCATCAAAGAGACCCCACCATGTGGAATTAGTGTTATCTCCGTAATCAAAATGTCAAATTACTTCTATAAGCTCCTATACTCCAACCATTGGATGAGCTTCTACAAAGCGTGATTTTCAAGCAGATTGATTCGACTCAAAGACGAGAAAAAAGTTGGTTTTTTGTACTCATCACAAAATAGTAAACCTTACTAAACTTTCCTAAGAATTTTGTCTGATATCGTTTGAAAATAGTGGATTTAGAAGTGTTTTCAGAAGTCCAATCACAGCTTTTTCTACAACGAATGCATTCACCTAATACCATGAAGCCTAATCAAGTTAAAGTTACCCATGACCTTATGTGCAATCTGAAAGGTATATGCTAAAGAACGAATAAATTGGGTGAGAAGCTGCATTGAAAATGAGGTTGAGGTTAGCCACTAGCCCTTGAATGTCAGGCTGCATGAGTTTTCGTAATCTTATGTTTGACCCACTTCACTTGCCTTCGCAACCTCAAACCGCTCCAGTTTTATTGTTACTGGGTAGCATAAAATCTGTTCTTGCCCTAAGAAAGTCATGGTTTTTGAGAAAACTCATAGCTAATGTAAGAGTAGATTTCGAAAAGTCGAAAACTCCTCACTACAGAATTATTTTTCTCCGTGTGCGGCACTATGAGAACTATGAGACTGTGGATGAGAATGAGGAAAGGAAGGTGGTTCGGGTAGTTTTGCAAGAGTTGGGGGAGGGTTAGAGGACATGTGCCTGACCTCACGCCTTATCCTCCTTATAGCCAAATTTTATTGTTTTTTTTTTGCCTTGATATGGATATGAGTGTGTGTTCTTGCACCATTTGCTTGCATGTTTCTTGCATATATTATTCACAATCAGTCCGGATTTCCTGTCCAAGTTGATGCATCTAAAACTAGTGTATATATTGTCGTACTGTTGGCTTCTCTGGATATAAGCTGTATATATATAAAGAATGGTAACAGGATGTGTTATATGTCACTAGAGGATAGCCTTAGACCATCCACCGTTTATTGAAAATTGTCAGATTACCATATTGTCATTTCAGGTAAAAAGTCATACCTCATGCGGCTTTGTTGTTTCACCTAAAAAAAGAAGTCAATGACGATAATCTGCATCGTTTAGCCTGAAACAACGGGAAAACGGTAGGAAGTGCTACCTCTTCAGTTGTCGGTACGACATGAATCAGGGTTCAAAAATACCAGTAGTTGCTGTATCCAAAGCGACAGTTTTTCAGAAAGAAAATAGGTTTTGTGCTTTGGCGTAGAATTACCGTTATCAATTTCAACACATACGATGAAGTTACAGTAGGTACACCGTAAGAGGGAAGCAGAAAAAGCAATAAATTTGATTGATGCGTTTCCTGTGAAAATGGGAACAGTAGATCAAAAATCACGTAGAGCCGATCCATGACCCACAAAATCCAATATCCAGGCGTGCGTCCCAGGTCCGTATATCGACTTTTGTTAGCGCAGCTTTTCTTTTTGTTTTTTATATACACATCAATCGGGATATGGGATTAAATTTAGCGTTAAGGGTATGATAAACTTTGAACTAAACGCAAAATTCGTGAGCACTTCACGTGCGTACCTTTTTACTTTGATCTTCTCTTTTTCTTAAAGTGTGATTACTGCAAACCACTCCAGTCTTTTACGCTTTGCTAAGACTGACATTTAATACAATACTTTTGTTCCTTTCTCTAGTTCTGTTCACTCATCATCAGCCTGCTTTGAAGTTATAATAGTCACTGGACAGAAATAATTACTTTACAGGTGGGTTTTCGACTTGCCTTAATTCTGGATTGATGCTCTATTATAGAATTGTGACTTAGATGGCATATATCGCTGAATCATTTTTGAAACTCTATATCAGGCATAGCTGGATGCTTGCAAAAATATAGGTTCTTACCGATAAGGCCTTACGGTAGGATCTCAGTAGTCATAGGCAAAAAAGTAGTCAAAAGTCTGAAGTTACGTTTTTTTCTGCTATCAAATGCCGACGTAAGTGACAATGCCAAAATGAATGCTTCATCTCTTGACGACTTACTGCCAAACGATCTGCACATTGTGTTACAAGGCAATTTCGAGAGTCGATTCTACCCTGCCTACAGATTTGATACGGCTACCCCTCTCTTATCCTCTTGAGAATAGATCGAAAAATTTCTAGAAGTTGCCTATACAATACCGCTCACAGACTGTGCAAAATTTCCGTGAGCGTCCGGGAATTCCGCGGAAGTCCGCGACAATCACGGAAAATTTGCACTTCTGTGAGCGGTATTGAGTTATGAACTGGCGCAGGTGACTTGTTTTCTCCAAATAAATAATATTTAAAAGCTCAAAGCAGCATTGGAAGTATTCAAAGACAGTAACCTATAATCCGCGATTTGCTTTATTTGTATCATACCTCCTCATTTCCAAAACTCTGAAATGAATTTTTTTGAAGAGTAGCTAAACTTTGCGTATAATTGGCACTTATCTAAAAGCATACAGGATGAGAGGTAAACCATTGGTGAGAAAAGAAGAAGTTGCATCAAATGCATCTTTAAAGGCGTTTAGGTCTTTATTACGAGGTTTTCCTTGTTTGAAAATACCGACAGTTTTAAGAGCACCTAACAATTTTGTTTCACTCAGGAAACTCTAAAAAACCTAATTTGTTTTATATTCTGCCTCTAATTCTTGCCTAATGACGCATATCATGTTCATAATTCTGTCCTATCATTCATGAACCGCGATCGTATCTTGAAAGATTTAGATAACAATCCAAAATATCATTGCTTTGACCTTCCAAGTCGCTGTTTCAAGCTATTAGCTTGGTACGAAATATCTTGCGTAATTCGCATAAAATACTCCATACATTACAGTAGCTAGCTTTCAATCTAGTTTGATGCAAAAACGAAAAATCGCCGAAAACGCCCTTCCGAAATCTTACGCAGTTCAGCAACCGCGTTTTATGGCTTTCTACTCGAAGCGTTTTTCTTGCATGCATTTGAAGCTTGTAGATACTTAAAATGTCCATTACGTTAGTGCTAAGCACTCTATAATATCTGTTGTTATCTGTGCATTTTCCTATCTACAGCACAACTATGCCGCATTGCCCGTGTCATGTATGAACACGTATAGAGTGCCGTATGGCATGGCTTATATTAACATGTAAAAACTTGTCAATAGCTTAGAGAATCGTTGATGATGAACTTGTAAACTATACGCAGCATCATGTGGGGGCTTCAGATGCAAAGTTCTTGTCAGTGGTGTTGATATATAATGCGTTAATTGCCCGAAAAGGTGATTTGCTAGACGGAGAAAGTACTACGGTACTGCAATCTCCCTCGTGGGCATCACCCCCTTCCACCGTAGGTGGGGCTTGGTGCTCATAATGGAGGTTACAGTATCGTAGTACTGCCCTGTTTGAGGTGGTGGGTATCCGTGGTAATGACAAGCATCGGTGAAGGTGTGATGGGTATCCGTGGTAATGACAAGCATTGGTGAAGGTGTGATGATCTAGGAGCATTCTCTATCGTTTCCCATATGTACCGTCCGTTTTGAATTCCAAGCGCAGTAAGTCACACACTTCTCATTTCTGAATAGGTTGCAAAGTAAAGTTCGTTAGAGCAAAGCAAGCTTTACAAAATGGTAGTCTTGCTTTCGCTACAGTTCTGATCCGCCTCGAGATTAAAGCCAAACATTAAAAAGATCCAACTACCCTAAAAACCGGGGAAACCCAACTTCGTTCAGGAAATGCTACGAAGATTCTGACTTGCTCACGCATATGCTATCCACATAAGACATTTATTAGGTTGTCCCAAAAGTTTTGTCGGTTTCTTTTATCGATCACTGAAACTCACAGAACACCAATCCACAAGCAAGCTAGGTACCATTTGATTCAGATTTTTATCCTCTTTCATACAGCTATATTTTCTCTCTGATCTACCTTGTCTTTGCTATGTTATCGCCATGGATTCTTAAATAGCTCAGCAGTAACGCCAAATCCTTCCTGAATTTTAAAAATTTTCATCCCGATGTTTTCAAGAAGCGCTGGCAAATGTTATGTAGAGCAAACTTTTGGCTACATTTTGTTCATTTTAAATTACATGGGCCACGTTTACCAAGTCCGTTATAATTAATTATTTAATAAAAACCGCAACTTTTTAAACACGTTTACCACGTAAAAATACGGAAAATTCCAAAAAGCTGCTTTCTCAAGGCAAATCAAACTTGGTCATGCTGCATAAATAATGTTTAATAAGAATCATTTTTCAATTCGCAAAAGTTTTGAAAACTTCCGTGTATTTGCTGCGGTTGCGTGTTTCATGACTTTGCCGAAAATCGAGACCTCTTAAGAAATAATTTCTTTCGAGCAAAAAACAGCAGATTCGGAGAATCTAAAAATATATTTCTGTAGTCCGAGAATTGCTCTATTAGAATTATACTTAAACATCCCAAAAACTTTAGAATGAAATTTTTAAAAATTAGCCGAACTTTGAGCAGATGAATTTGACGGATGGAGGATTTCAACAAATATCGAAAAAAGCATACAAGATTGTGGCTCGAAAATGTTTCCGTAAGAAAGAGAAGAAAAATCTGCATCGAATGCATGTTGAAACTCATTCAGGTGTTTATTGTGCGTGGTTTTATAGTGGTTTGAAAAAACCGACAAAACTTTCGGGACGACCTAATATATACAGTTGCCGTATTTTTTCCTCGCTCATCAAGAAAACGAATGTTTCCGTGCTTTTGCCAAAGTGATGGTGCTGTCCTCACATAAGTATTTGTATA